TTAATTAAAAAATTTTCATTCATATTTAGTGTAGTTTTAAAAAGTTGAAATTTTAAAAAAAATGTTATTTTTTGAAATATATAATAAAAAAAGTGTATTTTTTTATAAATTTTAAATTTTTTAAATTTTTTGAAATTTTCCTTAATATTTAGTGTAGTATATAAAATTTGAATTTTTTAAAATTTATTTTTGAAATTTTGAATTAAAGAATATGTTAATTTTTGAAATTTTTATTTAAAAAAATATGTTTTTTTAAATTAAAAAAATGTCCACGAAACTCGTCTCGCGAGTGTGACGAGTTCCAACGGGTATAAATTAAAATTTCAACCGTTGGGGTGACCATTGTGGAATCGTCAAATTATTTTTTAAATTCAGTGGAACTCGTCACACCGGCGTGATGAGTTCTAACGACTACTTTGGTAATTTTAGTATAAAATAAGGGTTTAGGGTGAAGATTAGGATGAATGAGAAGTGAGAAAAATAGAGAAAATCAAATATGTGGTCATGGGAAAATTTTGGGATTGATTTGGCTAACGGTGTTTATGGGTTTCACAACACAACCTCGAAGATCGATGGTTCGGATTCAAGCTCTTTTTCGGATGAAGAGTGGGAAAAAGAGGTAATAAAGTACATAGTCGAGGAGCACAAGAAGAAGAAAATGAAAATGGAAGAGAATAAGAATAAGAAGTGTAAAGATTTACCGAAGCGGCGTAGCAAATGACTTGTTGAGAGAGAAGAAAAAAATAAATATTTTAATATAGAAATTGAGAAGAAGAAGACGAATGAAGATAAATACGAAGGTGTCTTAATCTGACGTAGTGAATGAATTGTATAGAGATCTAAAAAAATATAAAATGACATATGTACAAATATTGATTTGTATGGTTTTAGTTTATGTAAGAAGTTGTCTTTATTAATTAAGTAATTATTGTCTCATTAAAATCCAAAATTTTATTTATCATTAGAATGGGAAGTTATACTTTGTAATGCCTATTTTAGCAACCAGCTCGATATTTTGGAAGATATGGATAATGTTTTCTGTTATGGCCTTCACCTCTGCAGTGGCCACAAAGTTTAGGTAGACCTGGCTTTCTTTGCGGATAATCCATATTGGTATGAATTCGACTAGATTCAGATCGACCCCGTAACTTCATACGCAATTGAGGATTTAGCAATCATTCCTCAAAAATTGTGCATGTAGGCCAGTATGCTTCATTTGGGAGGTACTTGAAGTCACAACTATAAATGTTACGCATACTGTGCAAGCTATAACAATCATCAGCATATAAGTATGGGTCAACATTGATGTGCATACATGCAGTAACAACGTGAGCGCATGGGAACCTAAAAGCTTGAAATCGACCACAATCACACCATTTTCTATTCATATTACCAGTGTATGTTGTAGAATTACCTCCCTCTTGTGGTCGAACTAGTCCTTGGACAACGAAATCAGAATCAAGTCTGGAAAAATTATGGACAAACATTGATGTCGCATGTGTTTGATTTTTTTGCATTTCATTCTCTAAATCTGGAGCCCGATTTCCCCATCTTTGATCATTGCATCAATTTGTGCATTTTTTTCTGCCCATACTTTACCTAACCTAAAGTAAGTCTCCCAAACAATACTTGTTATCGGAAAATGTCGAGTCCCTTTCAGCACTGAGTTGATACATTCAGCAAGGTTGGTAGTCATATGGTCGTAATGTCGACCCTCAACATCATATGCTTGTGACCATCTTTTCCTAGGGATTTCAGCTACGAATTCATACACATAATCTCCGTATCTTCTCAAATTTTCAAGCCATGCACGGAAGTTTGGTTGGAGTAAAACATACCCTAAAAACAGTAAATTAAATGTTAAGAATAAAAAAATAAGCAGAAATGATTATGAAATAATACTTACCCATGTTGATAATCTCTTTTTTTTTTATCTTTTTCTGCTTAAACCTCTTTATTGCATTCGACGCAATATGACATATACAATAGGCATGATATGCATGCGGAGGCGTCCATATATTTTTAGGGTCTAGAAATTGTGCTTAACAACCCAGGCGACCGATCTGAGATCGTGCAAACCCCATCTTAAGTGACAACATGGGAACACAAGTTGTAGAGAAAGAAATTCCAAGTTTCCTTCGATTCATTTTTAACAATGGCAAAGGCAATGGGGAAAATATTTCTGTCCCCATCTTGTGCAACGACTATCATCAAGATGTGTTTGTAGAGCCCATATAGAAAAGTACCATCGACTTAAATCATTTGTTTGCACAATCTAAACCCTTTGATAGCTGACTTAAACGCCCAGAACAAGCCACCAAAAATTATCTTCCCGAGGATAATGTCTCCCTCAAGCGTGACTGCAAGATGAGTATAGTACCTAACAATGCTTACAGGGATGAAAAATTCCATTGCTTGCAGCAGATGTGGAAACTCATTATATGACTGATGCCAATCACGATACAACAAGGTCATTGCTTTCTGTTTAGCCATCCATGCCTTGTAATAAGTTAGAATATAACCAATTGTATTCTAAATGGATGCCACTAACACAAAAACGGGCACTCTTGGATTTGTTTTTCCACCAATAGCTTCACATAAGAGCATATGACATCCTAATCTAAATGTTTGTGGTCTTGTGTCAAGGAGGTCATTGTACATGTGTGCTGTGCATTGAATCTTGTGACTTCCCACAACATCTTCTGTTGTAGGTATGATACTCGTATCCTCCATTTACAGCTAACATCATGTTTATACACCGTACGAAATAAGTCTTTTGATTCGACTTCGCGACATAGAATTAAAGTTGAGCTTTGATGCAGTACTCCTTGATTTCTATTTGTTCCTTTTTTGTTTCAAACTAAGACCCAATAGCCAACCCAAATGACTGTTCATCTGAAGAACCCCAATGGGCAGCACATAACTCCGGCATATCATATATTTCAGAATTCCGCATAGCATCGTAGTTAATGTCATGCATTGCAACTACATAATGATCCTGAGGCAAATCATGGCGAGGCATTTCAGGTTGAGGGTCTGTTTTTTCCCAAACATTTGGAGAATTATGCAATCCTCGACATCTTGAAAGAGCTGCCTCCCATATATCAGCCTCAACATCCACACCTTGTCCCTCTGAAGCAGCCTCAAAAACATCGGACTTGTTAACTAATGGTGTGTCATCTCGTCTACCAACGGAACTATATCTGAAGAGATTATGTACGAGTTCCATTGAATTTTTTATAAAAAAAAATTTGTTCGTTCAACAACGGCCAATCCAACGGTATAAACTTTCAAATTTCTAGCCGTTGGAACTCGTCACACCGGCGTGACTAGTTCCTTCACCATTAAAATAATATATATATATATATTTTTTGAACATTGTTTTTAAAATTTTTTTTAAAAATATTTTTTATTGGGAATCGTCACGCGGGAATGACGAGTCCAATAAAATATATTAAATAAATTCGGACTGTGGGACTCACATGACACGAACCATTAAAAAATATATCTCATGGAACTCGTCACGCCGGCATGACGAGTCCCACTATAGCATTTGCCGTAAATCCCAAAATAAATTTACTGTTGTCCTATTGGGCCAAATAATCCACCCGTATGAATTATTTGCCCAATTCCGCGGAATATGGAAGCAACACGATGGCTAACATTATCTTTCTAAAGCTTCCTTTTTACTATTGTTGTTCAAAATTGAGGGAGTTTCTTAATTGCTAATTTATTTTTGATTAATTTGAAATATCTTTTAATGTGCTGTACTATACTCAATGTCTCGGTCTATAACAGTAATGAGAATGAGATACTTTAGGGCTTAGGCGTATTGATTTGAATATGAAATATACATTTTCTTGGTTATTTTAGGATTACATCAATTACCTTCTGCATTGGTATGTTTTTGTCTTCAAAAGTTTGGGATGAAATTTATATTGCTATTCACTGCCTATATTTTCCAGGCATTTTGTTCCTTACTCATATTAATATAGGCAAAATTCAAAACTGTCTTTATTGTATCTCTTTGATATTGGCTAGCATCTCATTATGGTTACGACCTAGTTAGCTCCCTCATTTTCATCCTTGTTCAGTTCTTTCAATACCGAGGCCAGCCTAACTAACTGATTATGCATATATTTATCCATGTTAATTTTGTGTTTATTTAATCATAGGAGGTAGCTTATTGATTAAAAAATTCCTAAAAACAGATGAAGTTGCTAATCTGTGTTGCAATTAACCTGTTTCTGTCCAGCCACAAGATGTTGAAATCTTCTTTTTTACTCATTTGCTTTTAAAATTTAAATTTCCCTTTTTCTTAATGTACCAAATAGGGGGCAGGTAAATCTGCTGTCTTGAACAGTCTAATTGGACATCCTCTTCTGGTATGCTTATTTCTTTAGGCCTTTTCATTTTGTTGAAGATTTTTATTTTTCACAGAACTTTGCTCATAATTGTAATCTTTGACAGCCAACTGGTGAAAACGGTGCCACTAGAGCTCCCATCAGTGTTGATTTGGCTAGGGGTAGTTCTTTAAGCACTAAATCAATCATCTTGCAAGTTGACAATGAATCTCAACAGGTTTCTGCCAATAAGGCCTCTTTCCCTATTTTTGTTGTTTCTTTTTCATTTGTGTGGTACAGTGTTGCTTATTTGCTCCTGGAAAATACATCTTTATTCATCATGCACTCTGCTATTGATCTTTTTCCTCTCTAACCGCTTTTCATCTTTCAAATTGGTGTACCGTAGGTTCATTTCGTCATTCTCTGCAGGATAGGTTAAGCAAAGGTTCATCAGGCAGGAGTCATGATGAAATATATCTTAAGCTCCGTACCAGTATAGGTGAGTCTTCATGTTATTGAATTGCATTATTGATTCTAGTGGTTTTAGAATATGTATAAGTAATAACTTTTCAATCGGAGGTTGATGCCTCCATTGAATTTATTGATGACTTTGTGCCTTTTTTATATTAGGGTTCCCTATCAGAACTGAAATTATATATGTCAGTGGCTGGATTGTGGACAATTACCTAGTAATTTTAGTCGGAGTCCTAGCTAACTTTAATTTTTTATGATGACCTCAATTTTTTATTAATTAAGCAGCTCCCTTTGGACAGAAATTTTGACATGAAAAACGTCAAAAGGGTAGGTTCTATTATCAATTTGTAATCATTTTTTGTGCCTTCTTAAATTGATTTGTATCGGTCAGTTTCTTTAACCTCATATTGTTACTTTTCTCTCTGGTTGTCCTAGAAGCAGATGGCTATCAACCCTATCTGATATCTCCAGAGAAGGGTTTAATATCTTTGATAAAAGGTGTCTTGGAGCTAGCAAAAGAGCCATCTTGTTTATGCGTTGATGAGGTATAATGGTATATCTATATTGTGGTTCTGTACCTATACTTCCATATAAAGTTTTTTTCTTATGGTTGTTTCCTGTTTCTTGCATTTTTCTGAGTATGTTTTCTGCATCTGTTTTCTCGTAGTTCTATGAGTGTTTGTACAAGATTCTTCTACTAATTTGATAGGTGAGGAAATGAGGTTTTTTCTATAGATGTGTTTGGCCTTGTTCCTTAGCAACCTAACCATGAAGGTAGGCACCAATAAGCTAATTTAGCATCATGTATTTGTTTGATTTTTATGTGGATATGACATTATGCTGTTAATTCAGCGACTTGGCCCCAAAAATAGTCAGTTTAGCAATAACCTTAAAACTTAAATTGATTGGAAATACATAAAAATGTATACCAAGTTATACATCTCGATGTATTTTATAATACATTCATTTTCACTGTAACAATAAAAATTGTTATTGTTGGAACTCTCCTGTGTGAAGAAGGTTACTGAAAATTTTCAAGTTATATCTGCTGGAAAGTAATCTGCCATTTGCGATATTAACCTCCATGTGTTATTTTCTCTCAGTTTTCTATTCCTTTTGGGTTTTTTTCAAAACAGGTTCATCGTGTGTTGTTGAATATTGTTAGCGCTGCTGCAAATGCTACACCTGGTCTAGGGAGATATGCTCCTTTCAAGAGAGAGGTAATAACGCATTGCTGCTGTTCATATATGCTTTATGGTTGTTTAGACTAAGGGATGTGAAATACTTTCTTTTCTTTTTAAAAAATTAACCAGGTTGTGGCAATTGCAAATGCTGCACTTGGTTTTAAAAATGAATCAAAAAAGATGGTAGTTGCACAAGTGGACATGGAGCGTGCATTTGTTCTCCTTCAGCATTTCATTCACCTGGTGCAAAGGCGGTATGTTAAAATGATTTTTCTTTTCCATCTAATGGTTTATTTGGTTTTTTTAGCTTTTCGGTTTCTTTCTTCAATAATTGAAGCGATTTTTTCTTTTGTTTTCTTTCTATTTCCTTATCCTTTGCTTGTCAATAGAATGGAGAGACAACGACGAGAAGATGAAGTGAAGAACCGGTCCTCCAAGAAGGCAGCCAATGCAGAGCAGTCAATTCTAAATCGAGTTCAGACTTTTCTAAATGGCTTTGATAGATATTTTATAATAATTAGCTTATTGGTGACTACATTTTTATGACAGACTAATTGTTTTCTTCATTTCTCTTTTTAGGCAATTAGTCCTCAAACCAGTGGACAACAATCTGAAGGAAACTTAAAATCGTTGAAGGATAAACTAAGCAAGAAAGAAAAAGATGTATCGGAGAGCTCAGCATTTAAAGACTGCTGGACCGGTGGTGAGATAACAGTGGGTTAGTAATCAAACTGAGCATCTGGAAATTATTATCTTGAAATTTATTGTTTAATCCACTATCCAGAGTCATAGCCTGAACTTCTTCACTTTCCTGTGATGCCATTGCTAAATGGTATTCCTATTGATTGAGTTGTCTGATCAGAAGAGAGTTTTGTGCTTGTGAAAATATCAAATTTAAAGCAGTGGTCTGCTAAATAATGAACATGTCGCTGACTTGATGTATTTCTCAAGAGCAGAGCCACAATATGTAAGCAAGGGCACTTCACCCTCCTCAATTCCCAAAACAAACAGGTTTTCGTTTGAATCTATAGAACTTTATGTTGATTTTGTAAATTGCTCTCCTTGACAGCAGGCAGGGATGATTTGTAAATTCTAGAAACATTAAAGGTCAGGATTTTAGCAATGGATAAAAAAACACTTCACATGTAAAAACATCGTCTTCATTTTCTGTAGCAGATTTACTAGGTTTTAAACTCAACAATGCTGCCTGCTTATGACCTGTCAATAGTCCCAGTTATGAAATGTTCAAACTCCCCTCCCCCATATATATATAAGCTGGCATTAAACATGTATGCATTCAACCCTTATGCTTCGATCAGTAGAAAGGACGGAGAACTTGTCATCTAATGGTGAAGCTATAAAGTAGGAAATGAAATTTTAATGGTTGGATTACCAAGTTTTCCATCCTACCAAGCAAAGCCTTAGTTTTCTTGCTCAGAATCTTGTCGTAATTCTTTGGCTTAGCTGAAGGTGGAAACAGTTAGGAGGGATAAAGGTAAAAGACAACTATTTATGACAAGCTTTTTTTGTATTCAATTACTGTGAAATTTTGATTACAACTATTGGCCAGTTTATTGAGCCTATTTTGGTTTACCATCAATTGTATTTCTTACATGCAGGCTTTTTACTGAAGAAAAGCGGAAAAGAAAATGGATGGAGTAGGCGATGGTTTGTTTTGAATGAGAAAACTGGAAAGGTTACTGTTTTGTGCTTCAATTAATTTTGGTTGTTTCTATCTTAGCGCATGAGAGTGTGTATAGTTGATAATCCATGTTATTTTCTCTTTGTTCTAGAAATGTTGCTCAACAGTTATCTTTGCTGCAGCTTGGTTACACAAAAAAACAAGAGGAAAGGCATTTTCGTGCTGTCATAACATTGGAGGTATGGAGTAATATTCAGTTCTTCTGAACATGCATGTTTTCTGATTGTTGAATCTTATTCATTACTGAGAATCTCTCTCTTCGTGATTATAGAAGATTATTTTTTGCGTCAAATTTTAATGATGCAACATGTACAATATGCATTCCATATTTTCTTTGTTGCTCTCTATGCAAGTTGCTTTATATTGTTATAATTTGACAATAGTTATTGATAATGATTAATATTCAACAATCAGAACACATAATAAATTTGAATATATGGTCTGGAGTGTCCCTATTCCCTTTCTTGGGCGATCTTAGGGTTGCAGTCCTCACATTCACTTGGGGCATTCAATCTCCTGAGTGCTCTACACAGGGTGTTGATGAAGAAAGGGAACTTCTTTCCATATCAATTGTAAATTGCATCAATAATATTTTAAACAGAAAATACTATTGTGTGAGGGAGAATTTATCCTAATATTGTTCCTTGGGATTAGGAGAATTGTTGGCTTTTATATTGCTCTGATTTATAGATACAATCTCTATAACAATGTTCATATTGGAATAAATAGGCTTTTCATCTATATCAATGTGTGCTTCTCTAATTATTTAATCATCAGGAATGCAACATTGAGGAAGTTGCTGCTGCTGAAGGTGTCTCATCCAAAAGTTCCAAGGATAAGAAGGCAAATGGACCAAAAAAAGAACCCACGCTTGTTTTCAAGATAACTAGCAGGATTCCATATAAGACAGTTTTGAAAGGTTTTACAAGTTTTCTTAAATTGATTTCATTATTCTTGTACAGAGTTGCTTGTTAATTTAGTGCTATTTTATTTTGCAGCTCATAGTGCTGTTGTGTTGAAGGCCGAGAGCATTGCAGATAAGACTGAGTGGTTAGAAAAGTTAAAAACCGTTTTTGAATCTAAAGGAGGTCAAGGTTGAATCCAGCCCTCCCATGAGGCAAAGTCTATCTGATGGTTCACTTGTGAGTTATTTTTTCCCCTTTTTGATTGAGCGAGTTGTTGGTTAATTCCAGTTAATTTTGGGGTGTTTGGTAGTTCTTTACTGATCTTACCCTATTTTGGTTTAGGTTGGTTTTACTAATGTGGTCATTCAATTTGATGAATCAACCTTTGCTTAAAAATTTGACCAATGTGCAGCTTGACCGGCAAAAATACGGGATGTGGATCATTGGTAAAAAAAAATTATTATCAAGTATACCTCTTCAACATGATTCATATTTCCCTTGCAGGATACAATGTCAAGAAAACTTGCTGATCCTGAAGAAGAGCCTCAGTGGATGGCTCAAGAAGTGCAAGGTTATGTGGAAGCAGTTCTTAACAGCCTTGCCGCCATTGTTCCAAAGGTCAGTTTATTTTCCTGAATGACCGTTTATTGTTTATGCTGATGCTGATATATCATTTTTTAATCATCATTTTTAAAGCAGGCCATCGTTATTTGCCAAGTGGAGAATGCAAAAGTCAGTACTATTTATTTCACCTAGTTTACAAACACCCTTTTCGGGTGAAAACTATGCCTTTTAAGATTAATCCGACTTCTTAATGTGAGCTAAAAATAACAAAACAAACACTCTCTCCATCTTTTTCCTTTTTGTTCATGCTATTGATATCCATGTATGGCTGTTGAAAATTGTTCGCCTTATTTTTTAATTTTGGTGTACAATTTTTTATGGTTTATGGCTTTATGCTGTCTCAGTCTTCTTTGGGGGAATAACTTTAGTTTCTCATGCTTTTGATGGTCAGTGCCATAATCAATGCCAGGATTGAAGAACTGATCATGGAGGACCGAAATATAAAGCGCAGGAGGGAGCCATACCAGAAACAATCTTCTCTTCTTTCGAAACTTACAAGGCAACTTAGCATCCATGACAATCGAGCTGCTGCCGCCTTCGGCTGGTCTGACGGCAGTACAGCAGGTATCATTTTCTTGATTCGGTTTGAAGTTTCATATTGAACACGTTTCTTTTTCAGGGGGAAAACCCCCTGTAGAACGAGAGCCAATGTAGAAATTGATGTGGATTTCCTATAGCATGCTTGTTTTGTATTGTTAATAATTTTATTAAAAAACTACCGTTCCCCCCTCCCCTCTTTTCTTGTGCGCTACAGAATGCAGCCTAAGGACAAGTGGAGCCTCACAGGGTGATGACTGGAGGTCTGCACTTGATGCTGCTTCTAATGAACCTCTGGATTCAGGTAGGTACGGGTTGAATGGTCATAGCCGGCAGTATAGCGACCCAGCACAGGATGGTGATGAGCGTTCAGGTTCAAGATTCGGCAATCATAGGACACCAACCAGGTCACCACCGCAACAGTCTGGTTCGTTTTACAGATATTAGATCGGAACTTTTTAAATCACTTCCATTCTTTGCTGGGCATTTTGATCTTTGTCGTCGAGCATTTATCGAGCTTAAATTATATCGAGTGGCATTTGTAGAGTTTAGTTACACATTGTTGGAAAAAGGAACCATGAAAAAACCCTTTGTCTATAATAATGTATGGTTGTACAAAATCTTTGTTTAAGTTGGACGATTATAAAATAATTTAATTTGATTTACAAATCATTTTGCAATATTCATCTTCCAATTATTATAATAAAATAAGGATATATATAGAGTTGAAGTGAATCGATATAACCATGTATTGGCATTGAAATGTTAGATTATAGGAGTGAAGTTAAAAAAAATGAATGTGCTGCTTTGTCCACCCATGAATTATGATGAAGCTCAGTTACAATGCTGTCCTGCCAAAGGATATTTATTATCCCATCTTTTTAGTTACAATGCGTGCAGGATAGTTGGACGGATGAATGGGCAATGCAGAACTGAAATTGGCCGATGAATGGGCACTACCTGATTATTGCTACTGCCAATGCTCTCCGTAATTCATAAAATATGGTTTATTCTAAGGCATTTCATAGATTATCCACATCTGTAACCATAATTTCTTAAAATCGGCGATAAAATATTCTAAGGTATTTTCCCGATAAGCAAGTCTAAGGTTATTTAAATAAAAAAGCTGAATACAAAAATAAGTGCCTTAATTTTATCTCAAAAAATAATTTGGTGTCTAAAGAATTTTTCGCTAAAAATTGGTGTCTAATATTTTCTCAATTATAATTTTAGGTATCTATCATTATATTTTTAATTTTTTTAATAATAAAAATATTCTTTTTAATTAAAAAATAAAAAAATTAAAAAACTTAATTTATTTACAAAATAACAAAAAATTTTAATGAAATTACAAAAAAACTCTAAAAAACTAAAATCTTTCATTTCAACATGTTACCAACTGTCGCCGGCTATCTCCAACCACCATCATCATCGCTGAACGGTCACCCACCCGTCGTCTCAATCTTCGCCCTTACCGCTACCCAAATCCCCTAAATTTCTAAAATCCCTAATATCCAATCCCTAAAACTTTAAAATCTTAATCTCCACGATTGAGCGTTGGAGGAAAACCGACCCGAATACAAGTCTGAGGTGTCACATTGACTTTTCAAAACCTTGACTCTTATAGAAAATCCCGGGAATTTTTAAAACTTTTATTAAAACGAAATACTTTAATTTACATAAGACCATAAAATACAAAATTGATGAGAGCAATAAATGAATATGCAACAATAAACTTATGTTCATACTTACAATTGGATCATGACATTTCAATATGCATGTATCTATCGCACGATAACATATAATGCACATACGAAACTTACCTTCTTGTATCACTTTCACTGTAAATCGGTATTTCAATTGCATAGCCCATGTATATTATTGAGAACAGAGGTATGTGAGTGCATTGAGGTTGTGCACTAATGCTGTTACCACAGCTCGTATCAATTCCCTCATGGGGCACCGAACCTTAGTTCAGTATTCGTCCCGAAGGACCACGATCCAGAGGTCACAATATAAACTGTTCATATGTGCCTTTAAACATATGTAGACTGTTCATATGTGCCTTTAAACATATATAAACTGTTCATATGTGCCTTTAAACATATTTAGACTGTTCATATGTGCCTTTAAACATATGGAAACTGTTCATATGTGCCTTTAAACATATGTAAACTGTTCATATGTGCCTTTAAACATATGTAAACTGTTCATATGTGCCTTTAAACATATGTAAACCCTCGACTCTTGGCATGCCAATTACACCTATAGTTCTCATATCGTATACTATGGGCATTATTCTTATATCTTTCATATCACTTGTTTTTTCTCTTCTGTCACATACCACATGTATGTGTAATTATATATTTCATATCATATCACATGTATCACAAGTGCATACATTCACGTAGATCATGTAGCTCATATCACTTAATCATGTTCTCATATCAAATATCATATCACCATAATTATCATGTATGTATGTTCATAATCATTGTATTATAAAAATCAACATAAGGATTAGACTTATCACAAGTCTTATTCCATTATACTATACATATGGTATGCACTTACCTTAGATTTGCTTTGATTCGATTCTAATCCTTTGATCATTCCGGAATAAGCTTACTTTTAGTATCTACATAATCACACATGGATCTATATCAGTATCATAACTAATATACTCTAATGGTTCACTCTTTAGACCAAGAGAAAAGTCAATTTCATCTTTTAATGAAGGTATGCAACGATGCACTACTGATGCATCGGTGCATAAAATGTATTCGATGTAGTATTATTGCTGAGATGCATCGATGCACTCCTTATGCATCGATGCACCGATTGCATTCGATGTTTCACTATTAATGGGATGCATCGATGCACTACTTATGCATCGATGCATGAATTGCATTCGATGTATTTATTTAAAAGTGCATCGATGCATTACCAATGCATCGGTGCACATTCAAACAATTTCTGGGTTTTAACCTTGATGAATCGATGCACTATGAATGTGCATCGATGCACTCTGCCCAGAACCTCTTTTTGAACCCGAAAATCCATTCATTTCGGATTAAATCCTTCATGTTTAATCCCCTCTTTCATTCTTAACTCTAGTACACATCCTTAAACCAATTTATACTCATTTATTTCATCTTTAACCTTCAAATCCTATCATTCATATGAAATTCAAGAATTACATCAATAATCCAACATGTTTGAATTCCACTTTTAACACTTCATATATCTTAACTAGATTGATGACAAGTCAAATTTAACTTTCAATTCTAGTTATGAACTCTATTCCAAGATTTCATTTAAGAACTTCAAATCTTAAATCTCTCCTAACTCCATCATCCTTTGATGTTAAGATAACTTAATCTTTCCTTAAGCTTAGTTATCATCTAATAATCAAAACCCAATATTAAACTTAACAAATAATTAACTAAGTAGCATACTCATCTTTGAGCTTGGAGATACGGGAGGAGAGGAAGGAGAAAGAGAAGTTCTGGAGAAATATCTCCCTATATGCTTATCTCTTAAAGAGATAAGATAATTATCTTTTAGATAAAAAGACCATTTTACCCATTAATTCATTCAATAATTACTAAAACTTTTAGGATTTATCTCCAGATAAATCATTAAACTAATCCATTCTTCTATTTTAACCACTAAATTCTAAAAACTTTACCATTTAGTCACTAACCCCATAGTTTGGGATGTTACAACTCTCCCTCCCTTAAGAAAATTCATCCTCGAATTTTCATTGCACAAGAAGATAAGATACTGCCTACACATCCACTATTCCTTTTCCCATATTACCTCTTCAATAATTCTTTCGTGCCATCACAACTTCACTTTATTACTTTAATCATTCCTTTACCTTTTTCCTTTATGCTCTCGCATTCTTTTAACTTAATTACTCTTACTATCATACCATTTTATTATTCAACTCATTTATTATACAGTAAACGGTACCTGCTATTATCTCCGGATCATCAAAATCTTCATTTTTCTTGAGATTATATTTTCGAGCAGTAGAGCGTATTTCCTGTTGAGTAGAGGATTCAGGTTGACTTCTGTTTCTTTCTCTACCTCGTCCCCTCTGAGATATTGAAACAGATCTCTCCGGAAGAACCAGTTCTCCGGCCCTCAAAGGACAATCTCTCTTGAAATGTCCTGTTTCCCCACATCGGAAACAAGCCACTGTTTTAACTCTGCATATCTCGCTATGAGTTCTTCCACAAATCTGACATTGTCTAACTTGACTCTGTTGTGTTCTCCCATCACCGGACCCGACAGATTGAGTCTGTTTAGCTCTCACCTGATTTGGTTCCCTTGCAACGGATGCCATCGACTCTGATTGTGCTTGATATCGGAAACTAGAATCTCTATCTCTCTTAGGTGGTGCAAAACTTGATGAAGCCCCAGTTCTTTTAGATGGTTGAGTTCTTTGATTCCCATGCCTTTCATTTTGAACTCTCTCTAGAGTTTTAGCACGGTTTACTACCTCTTGAAACGATGACAAGTTCAACACTATTAGCATCTCCTTTAACCTTGGGTGCAAACCCTTAATAAACCACTCGCACGAATCCTTCTCTGTCGGAATTAACTCGGCCGCAAAACGACTTAACTTGTTAAATTCACACTCATATTCATATACAGTGAAATCCCATTGCTTCAGATTTAAGAATTCTTGCTTTATTTGCCTGATAAATTGATCTCCTATATACTTGTTTTTGAACTCTTTTAATAACAAAGACCAGGTCACTTGTCATTCTCAGAGTGACGTTCGTCCACCAAATTCTCGCTTGCCCACGAAGCAAGGAGACCACTCCATTTAATTTCTCCTCATCAGAACAGTGGAGTCCATCTAACATAATTTTCACATCATTGAGCCAAAGGTCTGCAGTAACAGGACCTTCCTCAGCTTCACCTTTGAATTCAGGAGCTCCTAATCTCTTCAACTCTTTCGCAACATTCATTTTCGGAGTTGAAGTAACAGGAGATTGGAAACGCGTTAATACCACGTTTAACGTTCTAAAGAATACATCTTGATCATTCACAGGCACTCCAGAGAGTGTCTGTTCTTCACTCTGCCTAGCCAGGGCAGGTGAATCAATGCTTTCAGCAGGTCTATCATCTCTCGCTTCATTCCTAGAACTACCTTGTCCGGACATCTATAAAAATACAACCATATAGTTCTATTAGCAAAACATTATACTTACTATTCTATCAGATCAGAAGTTTCCACTATTTTGTTGGCATGTATACCTTATAAAACACTCTAGACTTCGGTTTATGCCGAGAATCGACTAAACTGTAGCTCTGATACCATTAAATGTAACACCCTTAACTCATATCCGTCCCGAATACAAGTTTGAAGTGTCACATTAACTTTTCAAAACCTTGACTCTTATAGAAAATCCCGGGAATTTTTAAAACTTTCATTAAAACGAAATACTTTAATTTACATAAGACCATAAAATACAAAATTGATCAGAGTATTCGTAATTAACACTTATTACATGCCAACACTCTATACATAACCAAGTACATACTTTGTCAATTACTTCTGATCTGATCTCTTAGTAGTATTGCTGTCTGTGCTACTTCTATTTCCACTTTTCCTGATTCTTGGTACCTACGTGTAAATCACTTACACGCTAAGTCATAGACTTAGTGAGGCAATAAATGAATATGTAACAATAAACTTATGAATGCTCATACTTACAATTGGATCATGACATTTCAATATGCATGTATCTATCGCACGATAACATATAATGCACATACGAAACTTACCTTCTTGTATCACTTTCACTGTAAATCGGTATTTCAATTGCATAGCCCATGTATATTATTGAGAATAGAGGTATGTGAGTGCATTGAGTTTGTGCACTAATGCTGTCACCACAGCTCGTATCAATTCCCTCATGGGGCACCGAACCTTAGTTCAGTATTCGTCCCGAAGGACCACGATCCAGAGGTCACAATATAAACTGTTCATATGTGCCTTTAAACATATGTAAACTGTTCATATGTGCCTTTAAACATATGTAAACTGTTCATATGTGCCTTTAAACATATGTAAACCCTCGACTCTTGGCATGCCAATTACACCTATAGTTTTCATATCGTATATTATGGGCATTATTCTTATATCTTTCATATCACTTGTTCTTTCTCTTCTGTCACATACCACATGTATGTGTAATTATATATTTCATATCATATCACATGTATCACAAGTGCATACATTCACGTAGATCATGTAGCTCATATCACTTAATTCATATCATGTTCTCATATCACATATCATATCACCATAATTATCATGTATGCATGTTCACAATCATTGTATTATAAAAATCAACATAAGGATTAGACTTATCACAAGTCTTATTCCATTATACTATACATATAGTATGCACTTACCTTAGCTTTGCTTTGATTCGATTCTAATCCTTTGATCATTCTGGAATAAGCTTACTTTTAGTATCTACATAATCATACATGGATCTATATCAGTATCATAACTAATATACTCTAATGGTTCACTCTTTAGACCAAGAGAAAAGTCAATTTCATCTTTTAATGAAGGTATGCATCGGTTCACTCTTTAGACCAAGAAAAGTCAATTTCATCTTTTAATGAAGGTATGCATCGATGCACTACTGATGCATCGGTGCATAAAATGTATTCGATGTATTATTGCTGAGATGCATCGATGCACTCCTTATGCATCGATGCACCGATTGCATTCGATGTTTCACTATTAATGGGATGCATCGATGCACTACTTATGCATCGATGCATGAATTGCATTCGATGTATTTATTTTAAAAGAGTGCATCGATGCATTACCAATGCATCGGTGCACATTCAAACAATTTCTGGGTTTTAACCTTGATGAATCGATGCACTATGAATGTGCATCGATGCACTCTGCCCAGAACCTCTTTTTGAACCCGAAAATCCATTCATTTCTGATTAAATCCTTCATGTTTAATCCACTCTTTCATTCTTAACGCTAGTACACATCCTTAAACCAATTTATACTCATTTATTTCATCTTTAACCTTCAAATCCTATCCTTCATATGAAATTCAAGAATTACATCAATAATCCAACATGTTTGAATTCCACTTTTAACACTTCATATATCTTAACTAGATTGATGACAAGTCAAATTTAACTTTCAATTCTAGTTATGAACTCTATTCCAAGATTTCATTTAAGAACTTCAAATCTTAAATATCTCCTAACTCCATCATCCTTTGATGTTAAGATAACTTAAGCTTTCCTTAAACTTAGTTATCATCTAATAATTAAAACCCAATATTAAACTTAACAAATAATTAACTAAGTAGCATACTCACCTTTGAGCTTGGAGATACAGGAGGAGTGGAAGGAGAAGGAGAAGTTCTGGAGAAATATCTCCCTATATGCTTATCTCTTAATAAAGAGATAATATAATTATCTTTTAGATAAAAAGACCATTTTACCCATTAATTCATTCAATAATTACTAAAACGTTTAGGATTTATCTCCAGATAAATCATTAAACTAATCCATTCTTCTATTTTAACCACTAAATTCTGAAACTTTACCATTTAGTCACTAACCCATAGTTTGAGATGTTACATAAGTCCTTAAACAATGGTTTTTTTTATCAAATTTATCCTAAAAGCTTTCTAATTTATAGTTTTTATCAAACACCCCACCACCACCACTATTTCGACCCTCATTCCTTACAAAACAAAAACCAAACTGCATAGATAAATGAAGTTTTTTCATTAAATACAAATACACTAGTATTTAAAGCCATAAATTCAATTAATTTTAATGTAAAAGTAATGTTATTGGGATTATTTTCGTTTTGTAAGGATAATGGTTAGAATATTTAAAGACAAACGAAAATTTGTTTAAGTGTGGTTTTCGTTTTATAAGTAAATTGGTTAGAATATAATTAGATAATGTGATGTTAAAAAATAGAAACTAGAAAATTTTTGGGATAAACTAAATATAAAATCATTATTAAAGGACATATTTGATGTTTTGATAATAATTTAGAGGTGAAATAAATATTAATCTTTTTTATTAATGGTGTAATGTCATCAATTTGACAGAGATAATGGTGGAATAATTATTTTATTATAAATGAATAACATTAGTAATTATTTTATTACAAATCAATAATGTTAATGACGAAATGACGAATGTATTACTTTTTCACACTTCAGTGGAAAAAGAAACATACTCAAACATTAGTTACAACTTTTAATTAACCCACCTTCTCTCTATCCATTAGCGATTCCAGGATTGAGAAAGAGCAGCGAGGGAATTCTGCTAAATTTATTTGATAATTTTCCTCCCGAAATGGAAGCCATGCGTATATTAAGCTCCGCCGCCACCATCCTAAAAGCCACGCCTCCATCCTCCTTCTCTTTTCCTATCAAACCTCCGTTTCTGCTATCTTTAACTCCGACCGCCCCTTCTCCTCTAATCCTCTCCCGTCTCTCTTCTTCTGGTAACCCATGCATTTCAGCTTTCTGCTATCATACTTCTTGTGCGTTAATATTGCCTATTTACCGTTCTTCTGCTAACTTCTTTTCCTATTCCTATGAAATTCGAATTATACTATATGGTTCCTGGCTTTTCCGCTCATAAAACATTTATGGGTTTCATGCTATTCTATGGATTCTTTTATTTTTATTTGAAAGAATATTAAAATTGCCATGTCTTATTTTATTTAGCATAAACTTTGATATTTTCGCTTATGGATGATTAACTCAGTTACATATGCGACCCCGGAGAGCCAATTGAGTGAAGAAACCAGTACAAGAGAATGGGTAATGCAAGGTAAGTGATGACTTACTAAATTCCTAGTTAAATATTTGGACTGCAATGACCACTTCTAACAATAGTTATCTTTTTACTTGAATTGGAAAATTGGATCTACTGCGTGAAGTTGTATTGTCAACCAGTTTGAGTTGTGCTCTTGTTTTGACAGATTTTTATGCTCTAAGGAAGGATGTTGAATCGGCCTCGGAACGTGTTGAGGAGATTAGAGCATCTGCTGGTCTGCACCAACTAGAAAAGGAACTTGTGGTTCTGGAATCGAAAACAGGCCATAGCTCGTTTTGGGACGATCGTGCCAAAGCTCAACAAACTCTTTTGGCACTGACCGATGTCAAAGATAAGATATATTTGCTCAATGAATTTAAAACCAAGGTATGTATTTCTGGCTAAGGTGTCCGTGATGCTTAATTATAAAATGAAGGTAAGAACTTGTGGTTCAAATCGAGAGAATTTGCTCAATGAATTTTAATTCATAGGTCTCCAGATTTCCCCATATTTGTTGCATTGGACTATACTGGGAGATAGCATTTCCTTAATATGATACATTGGATGCAGGTTGAAGATGCCGAAACTATAGTTAATCTAACAGAGGAGATGGACTCCATAGATGCTTCACTTCTGGAAGAGGCTGTCAATGTCATCAAAGAAGTAAATAAGGCATTGGACAAATTCGAGTTGACTCAGCTTCTTTCTGGTCCCTATGATAAAGAAGGTGCGGTCATCTCTATAACTGCTGGTGCTGGTGGCACTGATGCGCAGGTATATACAACTAAACTTCAAAGGGCTTATGTTCATCCATATTAAGATTCATGGTAATCAATTGAGGATCCCTGCAGTAAGGTCCTTTTTATGATGGTGCCCGTCCTGATGTACCACTGAACTTTATTTAATTTTGGTGGGTAAAAATCTTGATACTTTCCTTTCCGACAGGACTGGGCTGACATGCTTCTGAGGATGTACACGAGATGGGGAGAGAAACAGAAATACAAGACAAAGGTGGTTGAGAAGTCTTTAGGGGAGGAAGCTGGGATTAAGTCAGCCACAATTGAAGTTGAAGGCAGATATGCTTATGGCTATCTGTCTGGAGAGAAAGGAACTCATCGAATAGTACGACAATCTCCTTTCAATGCCAAAGGTCTTCGCCAGGTAACTTTGCTTTATCACCACCCATAATTTCTTTTCTCTTCTTTTTTAAATAATCTTTTTGTGAGTTATGTAGGAATTTACTATGAACTCCATTACCCTACAAACTAATGGCATATTCCGAAAAGCATAACAGGTAGCATACATTGAGAATGAAACATGACACTTGTTATTTCTCATACAGACCAGCTTTTCCGGTGTTGAAGTGATGCCTCTTCTCCCCGAAGAATCAGTGGATGTCGAGCTGCCTGAAGAAGACCTTGAAATTAGCTTTTCAAGGGCAGGGGGGAAAGGAGGTCAGAATGTGAACAAGGTTGAAACCGCTGTTCGGATTACTCACATCCCGACCGGTGTTACCGTTCGTTGCACAGGTTTCCACCTCATTGCTCTTCTAGTTTCAATTTTTGCCGAAAGCTGTTAAAACTTTGTTTTGTAAAGCTTGATCAAAGAGTAGCAGCATCGCAGGAATCATCATTGCCATTACAAATTGTGACCGAGTATTGATGATATTTTGCAGAGGAGAGATCGCAGCTGGCGAACAAGATCAAGGCTCTTAGCCGATTAAAAGCCAAGTTATTGGTTATTGCAGAGGAGCAGCGTGCATCCGAAATCAAGCAAATAAGGGGAGATGCAGTGAAGGCAGAGTGGGGACAGCAGATACGAAACTATGTATTCCATCCCTACAAACTAGTGAAAGATGTACGGACTGGGTTCGAGACTTCAGATATTGCATCTGTGATGGATGGTGAATTGGATGCTTTCATCAAAGCTTACCTCAAATACAAATACACCATCTCTGTCTCTGCAACTACAACAGGGGCCTAATTATTATTTTTATTAACATTTGTACGAGGTTCTTTCAATCTTTTAAAGATGACAGCTGATCGAATATTTGTACTTTCTTTAAATACTCCAACTGGAAACCACTAAATCTATATCCGCCATATATCTAAGCATGGATACAAAAATATGATCCTTCAAAATAACTAAAAACTGAATATAACCATGTTAAACATATAGTTACAACACAATATAGGCCATCCTAAACAAATTGAAGCAGATATCAGTATTCACCATACAACATCAGTAAATTGATTCGAACTACACGGCCGTAAATGATTTTGTTATAACTATCTTGTTCATTACCAAACTCATGATTTTTAGCCGGAAAAAAGTCCTTGCAATCTGTAAGTCAATGAATTTTATCAATGAAAGAAATTGGTCTTACCTATTGAAACATTTGTTTAGAGAAGCGGCATGGATCTACAATTATAATTTCTTCACATGCATTGCAAGGAAATTCCCGAATTGATTGTTCAAAGGCTTATAATAACTATGAGATGAATCAAATCTAAAAACATCAATTGTATTTTGTCAGACGGTGAGGGACGCGCCATTGTCTGCTGCAGTGAGATTGATTATCATAGTAGCTGCCTTCAATGACCTACCAGAGACAGACAATTCAATCTCTCATACCATGTATAAAAATAATATGAACAACCAAGTTAAAGAACAACAAAGAAGAAGAAGAAGAAGAAGCTAATTCAAGCACTTTGCAATGTATCGCCAACAGTCGACTCAAAATTACGTAACAATATTAGATTTTACTCACAAGGCTATGATATAAACAAAATTCTATTTTTATGAAATACATAAAAAAGAAAATAATATTTCATTGAGAATTAAAGCAAAAATATCGATAAGACACCAACCATTATTCACCAAACTCTTACAAGTGCAAAAATTTATTTATTCTTAAGCAAATTGGGCACTAAATAAGAAGCAGAAATATAATTAGCATATTCGGAAATGTTTATGATGACAATATTTGAGGAGCTTATCTTTCAACGAGTTTAATTAAAAGAACAGTTTTCCCCAACAATTAAAAAGGATCTGAATTTACAAGTTGTTGACGCATTTGACACAGAGCAAGTTATGCAAGTATCCTCCTTTCAAATTGATCCAAAATATAACAAAATGCCCATAAATACAGAACTGCATAAACCATATGAACTCTGACTAGAACTAAAGAAAAATTAACATACCATGCTTCAGGTGTCTGATATACCGAGGCTGAACTTCCAAAGCAAGATTGAAGCATCTCTGTATTAATCACACCTGGATTAAGTGCTACAACAGCAAACCCATCAGGCATCTCCTTAGCCACTGCTCTGCTTAAACCCACAACAGCCCACTTTGAGGCACAATATGGTGCAACCTGTTGAGATACAAGGATATCCCCAATTTCACTCGCTGTTTCTGGAAGAAGTTTCTTAATTTCAATAATAAAGTAGATCTTAAAAGAATGAAATATGGTCACAGCATGACTGTTCCTCCCCTCTCCTCCCTTGTTCTCCACTAAGAAGGGCAATGGATCGAATATCTATATTTCCGTAACATCTGATGCATAACTACTTTAAAATCAAAATCCCAATTATATTATTATCTGAAACATCCGAATCCGCAAAATTATCTGAATAGAAAATTTGAATATCTGAACAAAACTGAAGCAGATTCTGATGCCACAGTTGGATATCCAAATCCATTATAAGTAAATATTGCAGATTCAGATAATGTATATCCGAGGGTTCATATCCAATTGCGCTTTGAGTTTCCTATAGAGAGTAATTATAATATCTGAATCCACAATATCTGAATTCACAATAAGCAGATCGGATATCTACAAATATTAGAACCCACACCATCCATATCAATCCCTATTCCCCTAGTTGGCAGCCACAACATGCAATGGCCACAAAAAGTTAAGTGCGCAAGTCATAACATGAATTGAGAAAATACATGTCCATTGTTCCCTGAAGCTAGAATTTTACATGCTTCCTTGTAAAACTTCTAAACGAAAAGGTTTCAATTGCTTATAAATTTTCTGTTGTTTATGACAATGGTTCCTTCATTTCATTAAACAACAAAATTTCGCTCGGTTATGTATTGGATGATTCAAGATGGACAAAATTGTGTAGAAGATGGAAAACTTGAATTTACCAAAGCAGCACCAGAACGTCCCCATCCAGAAGACATATTAACTATAATCCCTCGACTTTTGGGAAGCATCAACGGGATAAAGTGGCGTAACACATTTGCAATCCCTTTGACATTTGTATCAATGACAGTATCAAACTCTTCTACAGGAACCTCCCAAATTCTGTTGTTTTTATTGATTGTACCTGCGTTGTTTACTGCCAATACCTTAATGTTAGTAAAGACCAAAAGAGGCAAAGGTATAGGAGTTTACACTTAGCATGAAACGTGCCCTAAAGCTATAGATTAATATGCATTACAATTCCAGATAAAGAAATAGCCACAAAGCTAAATGAGAAAATTGTTCAGTTTTTAGTTTTGTTCTTGTTTTTCAAACATTAAGTGACTAAAGAGGGAATGATTTAAAAACAAAAACTACATTCGATTCTATTTTACATGAATTCAAGACTACGAATGTAAACATACCCTTGGTAGCAAGCTATGTAGTTCAGCTCAGTCATCACTTACACAAACTTGAGCGAACAAAATTTGAATATCCTAATGCTTGATTGAATAACTCATGAGCCTACTCGAACTTTTTAATTATGTATTTTTTTGCTTTTAGTTAGTACTGAAAATTTTCAATTCACACTTCAACTTGAGTTTGAGCACAAATAATAGAGCTTACAGACCAACATGAGAATCTAGCTTATAAATGGGCTTAATTGAGCAAGCTCAATCAAACAGCTCTAAAAGTGCAATCCCACTGCGCTATAGTCGAGCTTCAAGCTTCGAATTCCGAGTAGAGACTGAGCTACTACTTGTTTGAGCTCAGTTTGACAGAACTATTCAAAATCACAACTTCAGTAATAACAAAAGAAAATTGATTTACTAAAATTAAGTACAGTTGAAGGCAATGACTAAACAATTCTTGATTACTCAGTCGAATACATGAATTCCTCCTAATAATATCTAAACATTCTATTTTTTTAACTAGTAATTAATGACGAAACAATAAATTTAATTGGAACTGTTACAAAAGCATCTAAAAGAAGTTCAAATTTCAAACCAAATTAGAATATAAAAATAGAACCCAAAAAGATTGAAGCAAATAGCACTGATTACCGATTATGTCAGGAACAAACTTCTTTTCCACCAAAATTCGAGCCAGCTCCATAACGCTATTATCTGACTTCTGCAAATTCAAAAAGTGGACGAAATCATATCGGTAACGAAAATCTGAGAACCGCCTGAGAAAGGAAGGGAATGCATCGGCGAATAGGTAATGACCACATCAACACTGAGGAGGAGGTGACGGTCAGGCGAGGAGAGCTCCGATTGGAGAGAGTTGAGTTTGTCTTGGGAGCGGGAACACCCGATTACGGAGTGGCCTCTCTTGGAAAACTCGAGAGCTAAGGCTCTGCCAAGCCCTCTGCTCACTCCGGTGATCAAAACCGTCTTAACTGCAGCGGCTGCCGCCACTGCCGCCGTGTTCGAACCGCTAAACGATGCCGTTGTCATTTTCACTCCTTTCTCTCCGGCAAGTATATTTTTCCCTTAAAAATTAGAATAAAGAAAACTAAAAACAAAATGGCGAAATGCCCATCCTGACCTTTTTGTAGAATTCTCGAGAGGTTCAAATATTTTTTGTCGGGAATGTCTTAGGAAAGGCGAGTTAATATACGGTTAATAAACGGCGTTATTAGATATATTAAAATATATTTAATAAATTCGGTTTAGCGTTATCGGAAATGTTGACTAATAATAATGTAGTAGGTCTAAGTCATGAAGAAATATTAAAAAATTGTGCAACCGGCAAACTTAACTTGTCGGTTCATGTCGATCCAAATTAAAAATGTATCGATCCACAACGATATAACAGGTAAAACTATGACAAAATCGGTATTGAAATGATAAAACCGGTAAAACGGTACCAGATATATTTAAAGTGTCGGTACTTTAATATAAGGATCTACACTTCGTTAATTTAAAAGAGAATCAGTTTTAGCGCCTATAAAGTGTCGATACTTTAAAAAAATATATCGATCCACAACGATATAACAGGTAAAAATATGATAAAACCGGTATCAAAATGATGAAACCGGTAAAATGCTACTGGATATATTGAAAGTGTCGATACTTTTTATAAGGATCGACACTTTGTGAATTTAAAAAAGAAGCAGTTTTAACGCCTATAAAGTGTCGATACTTTAAAAAAAATGTATCGATCCATAACGATATAATATGTAAAAATATTATAAAACCGGTATCAAAATGATAAAACCGGTAAAATGCTACCGGATATATTGAAAGTGTCGATACTTGCATAAGTACGTGTAATAAATTATCGATACTTTCAAAGAAATACGTAATTATCCTTTCGAAAGTATCGACACCTGACATAAAAGTATCGACACTTGTATCGATTAAATATAAATAACATATCCGATGAAAATATAAAGGTCATAGCTAAATATCCTCTGAAAATAGATAGAACGGACAAGTTTTTGAAATCGAATCGTAATTGTTGCTGTATTTCAGAAGGCGTTTCTAAAGCGAAGTTTGTTTGTTTGTTGTTGCAGTCGAATCAAAAAGTATGTTGTCGAAACTCTAGTTTTTTATTATTACAGTAATCGCGAATACGGTTTTTATGTGTTGTTTGGGGTTTTGGAGTAAAGAAGCATTTGGGACCGATTTGCAGGTAGAAAGTGATATTCAATGTAAAATATAAATGTCGATACTTTTATTAAATATTATAGGTAGAAAATGATATTATAGGTTGTATAAATGTGCCGACATATTTTATAGTGGCCATTCAAATTCTTTTGAAGAAAACTGTTTTACCACAAGAGTAATTATCTATATTTGTATATTGAATAAAGTGTATGTAACAAAATAATTTGATTTGCGTAAACTGATATATGAAGGAAAAATAGAGTCAATGGGTTGGAAAATTGTTGGTTGCGCAGATGACTTTGAAATTGAGGCCGAGACTCGAAAGCAACCAAAGGATGGATATATGTACTTCTAGTAAGTATCAATGTCTTTTTGTTATTATTGTTGAAATGGTAATTAGATTAAAGTATCGATAAACTTTAAATTGATTACAAATTTTAAATGTGACAGTATGGTCGAATGCAAAAGGATGAAGGAAGATGGCACACAGAGCGGTTCGATATGTAAAATGAAATTGACATTGAGTATTATTTAGTGTTAATGTATTGATTAAGAAATGTTTATGTTTAATATTAGGTGACAAAAGATGTGAGGTCCAAATGGAATTCGATGAGTGATGCTGAAAAGGAACTTTACATCACACAGTCAATGAATGATAGTAAAGAATACAAAGAACGGAGGAAAGCACATGAAAATAAGGTATTCATTAAACTTGTAAATACGTTGATACAAAATATATATAAGAACTATAACATTATATATTGTTAAAAAATGTAGGAAGTGTCGACAAGATGCATCATTAAAAGGGTGAATTCATTAATTAAACAACTTAAGGAGAAGGGTCAGTTGAATGTGCTGGGAGAAATAAGTTTTGGATCGTTGGTAGGAATAAGGGATCGACTTATTCGGAGGGAATTGTGTCGATCCTTGATGGCGCAATTTGATGTCAGACAATGTATTGCTAAGTATGGTGATTTTTCATTTCCTCTCGGGATCTCATGTGCTGCAACCGTATTGGGGGTAGAAAATGAAGGCAAAAGTGTTGTAGAAGTCTGTAAGAGTAAGGACTGGAAAGCACTTGCCTCCAAATATGGTTTGAAGCAGAAGGTGACATATGCTGAAATTGAAGAGGAAATAAAAAGTGGATCTTACGGGGGGATGAGCTGAAGGCCAGAGTTCTATTATACCTTGTCGGTATCTTTCTTTGTCCAACGGGTGATACGTCAACGAACAAGGAATATATGAAGCTCATTTGCGATGAAGGCTTGAAGGGTGAATTCAATTGGGCTGAATATATCCATTCGAGACTGATTGAATCAATAATCACCTTTAAAAAAGGCAGCCAGAGATACCTCAAAAGGTGCATAGCAATCTTAGAGGTAAATGAGTTGAAGAACTTTTTTGTGTTTTTATATAAAATGATAGTATAGTTATTATATAAAAATATAAATTTTATTATAAATGCAGGTTGCACTGTTCGATTTTTGGTCGGGCTGTGAGGCAGTGCCGGCTTATGAAAGAACCGGAGTGGCACGCATCCGTGCATGGGGGAAGGAAGAGGTGGTTAGAGTGATGGTGAAGTTGAAGTTGGATAGAGCGAAGAAGCAAGAAAGGGTAATAAATGTAATTAAATAATATTAAGAATATAATCAATGCCTTAATATTGTAATTTAATTTTGAAGGTTATTGGCAAGGATGTAGAAGAGGTAGTAGAGGCAGAGGAGAAGAAATGAGAGATGGTTGTATTGGGGGATAACGGGCAAATATGTGTAATCCAAGTGCTTCAAAATGTGAAGTTGATGGCGACACAGAAGTCCAACGGTCTCGAATTTTTTGCAGGAGCAAATTAGAGTTTTCATACGAGAATCAAAAACTAATTTCAAATTTCCTATTTTTTCTGCGTACTTTGACAAAATATAATGTTGACATTCATCTGATAAGGACTTAATCTCTGCCTCAATCCGGTACAATGTCTCCCGTATAAGTTAATCTTGGAACGCACGAAAAGATTCGCGGGTAAAAATCGCAGCGGCATGGCTTTCAAGGTCGACCAGTTTTGTGATCTGGAAGGGCTTCGTATGGGAACTTAAGTAATCCGCTTTCAACTCGTTCATACGAATTCTACTAATTCCATCTTCAATTGCACGAACAACATCTAAATATGTCTTCTTGTGTTTTAGTGCAATCGCTAGTGAAGCATTCATAGACTCGCACCTTTGTGTTGAGCGAATATTGGCAAAGAAATGACCGGATAGATATGCTTGTGCCCATAAGTGTCGTGTATTTCCCTTCTCAATCACCCATGGATGCTTTTGGACGTTGAATTCTAAAACAACCAAACGCCATTGAATATCAAATTCCTCGGTTGTCCACCAGGAAGCCATGCATTTTGAGAATGCTGTTGTAAACTTTGGGTCACCAATGTTAGCTTGTGCATTGCGAGAAAGATGACAATAACATAATATGTGCTTAGCATAAGGGATAACAGATTTGATAGCCCTATGCATTGCCCTATCCCCATCGGTGACAACTGAAATAGGTGATTTACTCATCATGGCTTCTAAAAATTTTTGTAGCACCCACTCGAAAGATTGAGACGTCTCGTCAGCGATTATGGTAGTGGCAAACACAATTGTGTTATGGTGATGATTGACACCGACAATAGGCATAATTGGTCGACCATACAAATTATCTTTGTACGTTGTGTCGAACGCAATTACATCACCGAAACATGTGTAATCCGATCTCGACGTAGAATCCAACCAAATAAGATTATACAATGCCCCCGATTCGTCTACCGAGTATGTCATAAAAACCTCGAGATCATCATGTTTCTTATAATAAAAGTAGGCAATAAGCGCATTCACATCCCCATCGACGATTTCCTTTGCTTTACCTCTTTGAAGTGCATTGTAGAGGTCTTTATGTGTAAATCCAACATTATGATAGCCCCCTGCCTGCTGCGTTAAATAGTTCATTACTTGTGACGTGCCAACACCGACCTCTTTCAATGTTGTTTCCTCATCGATATCCGCCTTACTTACAGCTCTATTAGAACGCATAAATGGTGTCATAGTAGGTGTGCACAATGCATGATTATGTTTATGATCAGACTTACTTATAACCCACTGATCGTTTGTATTTGTTGCAGTAACTAAGCCACTGATCGTTTGTATTTGTTGCAGTAACTAAGACTCTAGCCTTACATCCTGTTCTTGTGACTGGCGTATGAGCACGTTGACGATCAACAATATTGACTTTTGATACTCGAAACCCTTCTTTGGCACAAAAAAAATTCTTGTGTCTTCACATTCCCTTCCACGTCAAGCCGTGTTGTTCCCTTACGTGCACTAAACCCATGTTCCCGTGCGAATCCCTTATAAAAGTACCAAGCTTGATCACGTGAATAGAAGAGCTGACCAACTAATCTGTCAGATTCATCAACATTATGTACTTCATGGCATTCCTCGGTTGGCTTAACATTGTCTACATCAGTATGATCCATGGCAAAAAATTTGTTGTGCAAGTTCAGTGGTCCCGGAGTTGATGGAAATATAAGCAAAGATTCATTTTGAACATGTTTCAGTCGTGCTGCTTTCAATAGGATATGATATTGGTAGTGGTAGTTAAAGGGTGGGTACAACATTAAATTCGCAGTACATATTTAGGTATGTACAATAACTACCTAAATATGTGTCAATACATTTTCTACAAGTATCGACCCAAAAAACATCAAAACCAATAATTATAATGTAATAGGTAAATTAACATATCAGGTAAATTTTACCTTTTTTTTTCATAATGTTACCTGATATGTTGAAAGTATTAATCCTTTTTATAAAAAAGATCGATACTTTACAATATAATAGGTAAAAATATGATGTAATAGGTAG